GGAAAGCCTCTCAAAGACACGGAAAGGGTGGGGTTAATGAGCTAGATACGTATAATAAAGAGAAACAATGAATTCCTAATGAGCATCTTGAAGGATCAAGATGAAAAACAAACAGACTCATGCTCATTTGCTTTCTTTAACCTCAGCAAATCCCACAGGACACACTTTAGAAACAAACATAGAGCCTCTGCCTCTGCCACCTCTGTCCCTGTCCCCATGCAAGTTTTCTCCCCTGGATTACTGCAGTAGTCTACTGTCTGGTCTCCTTGCATCAATCATCAACTCCCTATGAGTTCATCTTCATAAACTACATTAATTAGCCATTCAGACCACATTACTTCCCTGATCTACTCACCCAGTGACTTCTCGTCTCACCCAGAATCAATCAATCAGTCTAAGGTCACTGGCTGCCTCTCCCCATGGTCCTCATTCCTTCTCTTCCCCTTGCCTGATACCCTCCTGCCCTTCTCTCCAGCTGTTCTCACAGGAACCATACTATAGTCTCCAGACTCACTGTCTCTCCTTCCTAAAGAGGTCTGGGATATTCAAGATGGGTGTTCTTATATGTCATCCCAAGCTTTGCTGTAATGACACCTTCACTGTGTCCTTGTTGTTTGCTTCCATCTAATATGGCAGTCTTGCTGCACTAGAAGGATCCTAGACATTGCGTTGTTTATCCTCATGATACACATCACTTCTGGTATTTATTTATGCCAACTGTTCACTGCTCTTATTCCTTCAATGGCAGGGATCTTGACTGGATCACTTGATGGAGCCTTAGGACATGGAACACTGCTTGGTATACTGAGTTGCCTTATAAATACTTGCTATAAGTGAATGAATAAACTGTCCATTCAAAAAGATCTATCTTAGCCAGACAGTGGTGGTATATGCCTTTAATCCCAGCACTCAGGAGGCAGAGGCAGGTGGATCTCTGTGAGTTTGAGGCCAGCCTACAGAGCTACACAGAGAAACCCAGTCTCGAAAAAGAAAAAAAGAAGAGAAAAACCCAAAATATCAGTCTTATTCCACTTCCAACCTTCTAAGCAAGGACACGAAAACCTTGCATGCCTAGTGAAATAGCTATAGAAACAGTACAGTCGAGATAGAACCTGAAATTGCTCTCCCAATAATAACAAAGGGAACTGGGACTCTTCATCTCTTCAGCACTTCCTGAATCTAATTCCTCAGCTTTCTCTTCCCTGAAGTAACAGCTCAGGTCAGAAGACTTCCTCTTTCAAATATGATTCAATGCTAAACACCTAGGTGATCTAAGAGCATCACACTGGGTATACCATACTGAGATGCAAATGAGTGACATTATGTTCAAGGGTGTGTGTGTGTGTGTGTGTGTGCGCGCGTGCTCGCGTGCGCACGCGCGCGTGTGTGCACGCACATGCATGCTCGCCAAAGAAAATTGTGGGAATCTGTTCTCTCTTTCCATTATGTGGGTTCTGGGGGTTGAACTCAGGTCATCAAGCTTGGTGACAGGCACCTTCTCTGGCTGTACCATCTCATCGTTCCCAAGTGAGTTTTTTTGTGCTGCACAGAATCAAGAAATTATGGGAGTTAATATAACATGGAGTGATTTAGGCCAAAGGTAGGGAGGGATGCTAAGGGGAGAAGGAAGAAGGAAGGGAAGAAGTAGGCTAATAAGAAAGCTAAAGGGTGGACTAATGGAGGGAAGAAAGAGAACCAAACAGAAGATGGGAAGGGACACAGGGTGAGGAAATGGAGACTGGAACAAATGGGAATAAAGTATAATGACACCCATATATGATGATGCCAAGATGAAACCCACTACTTCGTATCCTAACCTAAAAGAGTTAATTTTTTAAAGATAGGATGAAGAAAAAGGATATTTAATATGATGGTGGCATGGTTAGTTCTAGTTGTTAACCTGACAATCTAGAATGACTTGGGAAATGAGTCTCCATGAGGGATTGTGCAGATCAAGTTCCTGTGAGCCTGTTCTAAGAGGGATTATCTTGATTAGCCGGAAGAGCCACCCACTGTGGGTGGCACCATTCCCTGGACAGGGGATTGAATAAGAGTGAAGAAGACAAGCTGAGTACTAGCATGAATGCATTCATTCATTGCTCTCTGCCCTTGGCTTTGGATGTGATGTCACTAGATGCTTCAGGTCCTTGTCATCTCGACTTCCCTACAATGGTAGATATAACCTGAAATAAACCCTTCCCCCTTGAGTTTCTTTTGTCAGGATACATTTATCACAGCAACAAGAAAGGAAACTAAGATGGCATGGTTTCTTAGTTGGGATTTAATTAATATGCATCTAATACCAACACATTTTATAATGCAAAATATTTTGGTATTTATTTCATTCTGAAACACATTTATTATGATCTGTCTTTTGGGGGGAGATGTTGGTCATGACTGGCAAGCATTCTCCTTCTAAACTATTCTTCGGACCTGAAGCAGACTTCTTAACAAATTGCCTTGAGATAAAATTTAGACCTAACAACCAAAACAAAACAAAATAACCAAAAATTGATAATACTTAGTGTACGTTGAAAAACAAGAAAAAAACAGTTCCCTTTAAGCATCAGTAATGGTGTATTCCAAGGATTGCAAGCCAATGAACAAGTATTAACCTGAACTTTTAAATCACAAAAGTAATAAAACTTTATGTAGGCCCCAGAGGGGGCCTTCAAAGTTCTTAGAGAACAGCTCTTCTACCACACATGTCAGGGAGCCTACGACATATCTGATAAAAAGAAAGAGCATGCAAAGGGGCTGACAAGACAGTTCAGTGGGTAAAGTACTTTCTTTGCAAGCCTGTTGACCTGAAGTTGGAACAAGTGGTGGAAGGAGAGGACTCCCTAAAGTTTTTCTCTGACCCCCACATGTACACACACACACACACACACACACACACACACACACACTACATGCAACAACAAATAAACATTACATGTTTCAGAAAGGAAAGAAAAGAAAGAACACGTAGGCTTCAAGAGTTCTGTCTGTGGTCCCAATTTCTGGTTCCTGGTCCAGGGATAACAGTGCAATCAAATACCACTGCATTGTCAGGATGAGTAAGCAGCCAATAAGAATTTAGAAATCAGGTCTCCATTTTATTACAGATCTTAGAGAGTTTCCAAGATAACCAAGTTGCTGCCAGGGACCCTCTTACACTTGGATACTCACAGCTTATACAACCATGCCACTCCCAGACACTGTTTCTGGCTCATTCCTAGGCACCATTTCTGGGCCCACCTGAAAGGTTCAGGCATTAATGCTGACCTGCCCGTACCTCTTTAAGAGACGGACCCTCGCCGCCTGACAATGTCACTCATTACACAGTTCGGAGCGGCATAACTGCTTAGGGACTCTGTACATGATCGAGCTCCCCCTTTTAAGCCTGCAGCATTATTCTCCATTTACTCTCTCTCTCTCTCTGTTTATGATGATCAACCAGTAACTCTCTTCTCTCTCTTCTCTTTACTCTCTCTTACCTCCTCCCTGCTCTCTGCTCTCTCTCTCTCTTCCTCTTCTGTGTCTCTCATCTCTCTCACTCCCGCTCTTCCTCCCCCACCTGTAACAAACTATGGTTAATGTATCTCCCATTCTCACGTCTCATCCTGCGCCCTTTTTATATTTTCAAACTTAAACAAAAGAACTACACCACCATTGGCTTTTCCTCCTGTGGGGATCAGTGGAAGGCTGAGGTCTATATGGATATACACAAATCTCACTGTACAGTTCACCTCTTCTTTTTATTTTTCTTATTCATGCCAATAAAGAATAGGTGATTTTGATAATCAAGAACAGGCCAATTTTGAAATGGCTGTTTGACCCCTTATATAATCGTAAGTAACCATTCTTGTATGCCTTAGCAAAAAGACTAGCCTAACATGTGAACCTATCCTTTAGGAAAAAACAAAATGCTGTGTACTTACATACAGTCCAGCCACACACGTGCACATAAAGTAAAACAATAAAAATAAATCTTCAAGAAAGTGCTTTCTGAGCCAAACCCAATCCCCAAACCTAATTAATTCCACTGTCTGTCCACATCACTGATATACTGAAAATAAAAATCTCCACACACTTTTATTCTCTCATGTGTATTTAGAACTGATGTCATTTGTGTTGCATGCAAGAGGTAGCATGAGAAAAAGGAACCCAAAGGTACAGAGTTACCAAGTGTAATAAAACTAAGTAAAGGCATTACTTATATGCCTGGCCTATTCCAACATACCACTTTTGAAACAGTGGCTTTTACATTTTGCTATGGGTTTGAATATATGGTTTATGCCTCTAGGGCCCATGTTTGCAAGCTTAGTCACAAGAGGACAATTTCAGGGGCAGGATTGTCAAACAGACTATTGGGAGGTTGACAGGTCATTCTGGGCATGCTCTTGAAGGGAACTAAGGTAGTTTTGGTTGAACTCTCTTGCATCCTGTTATGAGATGTGACTTGTTCTTTCCATTGTGATATGACAGTCAAGAGGACTCTCACCAAAACTGTATGCCATGTCTGTAGTCCCTCAGACTGTGACCTATACAGAACTCCCCAGCTCAGAAACAGCCTTCTGTGGCATGTTACTATTGCCGAGGTATCACTGACTGGAACAGACCTCTCTGAGGGGTGACTGAGCTCCTGGTCATATGAGAAACAAAAAATTTCTGAAAGACATTTTATGCTAGCCAATAGATATTCAAAATGTACAAATATGCAAAGTAAACATTACTTTTGTGTATTTCTTGGATCCTGGCCTAGGCTCTCTTTTGTGTAAAAACTAGAACAATTTTACGCTTGAGGACAAATTGCAAACACAGTATTGAGAGCTTCTGGTGGGCTCTTCACCCATCTCCCTGTCTACATGAAATCATACATGAGTCAGGGTACTTATGTCAAAAGCAAGAAACTAACCCGTGACACTACTCAACTAGAGGAAGGGGTTACTCTGAGTCTATCAGCTTTCCTCTGCTACTGGGTGCCATGCAGATGCGCACGCTGAAGTTAGCCTCACCTTTCGATCTGTGTCCGCATCCTCATCTTGATATTCATCGCATGGGCTGGTGCTGGCTGCAAAGGTGGGTCCCTGAGAATAGTATTGAGAACTTCGGCATCCATCCCGCCTCAGCTTGTCACATTCTGCAGAGAGGGCAAGAAGTCGTTAGAAACCAGAATTTCTGGAAGTCCACTTTACTTAACTTTTCCAGTAATATTTTCCTAAGCAAAGTAGGATTTCAAAATAATGATATAAATGATTAAGGGTTATTAAGGCACTAAATATCACATCAATGCACTTTAAGTGGATCTTCAGAGAGTACCACAAGCCTATGCAGTAAACACTTGTCAGCAACTCTGTTCCCGGGAAATTGAAGGTTAGCATAATTAAAACACTTGTTCAGTATGCTAGGCAAGGAAGCAGTGAACTCAGAGTGTCACCCCAGGGCCTTCGTTACTGTACTATAATTGCTGTCACAGAACTACTGATTATATTGTAACAGTTTTTCCAAACCCACAACAAAAGTGATGGCCAAGCCATGCTTGTTTCCAGGACTTAGCACAAGTGACATGAGAGATCACAGAATGACTGTGATACTGTAGCTTTACAGGGAGATGGGGTGTGGGGGAGGGGGAGGAAAGCACAGCGTCCTGGAAATGAAACTCACAGCCCTGAAGATGCTAAGCACTTGGCCTGCAACTGAATTCTGATATCAATTTGCTGTGTGGGATTTCATAGGAAGCTATGTGCTAGCCCGAAATATCTGCCAGTGCACAGAGGAAGGCACCAATGGCATCTCAAAGCATCAGGAGCTTGCCCAATTATTACCCAGACCCATTAAAGGAGCATTTGCCAGACAAGAGGAACTGTAATGTGGTCCCTTAAAAACCAACTTTCTAAAGCAGCGAAAATGCGCTTTTCTAGGAGTTTTCTCTTTACAGGGCTGGTTTTTGTTTTGTTTTGTTTTGTTTTGTTTTTTGTTCTGTTTTTAAGACAGGGTTTCTCTGTGTAGCCCTGGCTGTCCTGGAACTCACTTTGTAGACCAGACTGTCCTCAAATTTACGGAGATCCTCCTGCCTCTGCCTCCTGAGTGCTGGGATGAAAGACATGTGCCACCACTGCCCTGCTACAGGGCTTTTAAAACCATAGAACCAAAAGCACAGAAACAAACTAAGGTCTCTTCACTGCTCCTGTGTTAACAGAGAACCTCCGACTCTCACTAGAGAAGGACAATCACTTCAGTAAGAGATCAAGTGATGAGGGTTTTGTTGTTGTTTACGAGCAGAAAATAAAAGTCCTCATTCTTTATTGCAATGGGAGTGGATGGTTGAAGTTTCTAATTCAGAACTATATATTAGATTTTAAAAAGAAAAAAAAAAAAAGTCCCTGACAACAGTCACTAAGCTCTGTGAAAATGCCAAGGTAACTGGAAAATGAACACTGTAAGATAGCTAAGTAACAACTTCATCATTTATGGGCTAGAGAGTATTCATGACACTTTTTTAAAGCACAATCTTCAAGTGTCTGAAGCATCCAGAAGCCAAACTATTTCTAAAGCTAGATTTATTTATATATTTGCTTACCATGCATGAGTGTATAAATGAAAATTCACTCATCTGATCTAGCCCTTCAGACGGAAAAATATTTTCACAACTCCCTAACAGTTATCAATCTCTCTGAGATTAAATACAAAAAGATCTATAGCTATATCTACTGAGACGATGTTATAGGAAACAGGAAGGGTAGCTTTCAAATGGCATTCTCTGAAGATCTCTGGGGTCCTTGAATATTTGATTTGGTTTTCTTTAAATACCCACCTTAAGGAAAGGCTAGCTCGGTAACACTCAATTCAATAGCTTTACATGCTATATCTTAACACAACCCAGTGGATATGGCACTTAACATCCTGCTAGATTCACTTTCCCATGGCCCTAGAAATAGACCATTCCAACCATTTCTGTACCACTGAGTCTTTTAAGGGCTGTGGTAAATCTTGCAAGATGAACCACCACTATTACCATCCACAGCTACTGCTTCAGCAATGCAGGCTTTTCAGAGACCTGACAAATAAAGATAGATGCCAAAGCCTTTCAGGTAAATTCTTTTGTCCACAATCATCTTTTCTGGCCACATTAGCTAAACATGTGAAGAATCTGAATTGGTATGGTGGCATATGCCAGTAATCCCAGCATTCGGGAGGTGGAAGCCAGAAGAAGAAAAGTTCAGCCTGGGCTAACCAAGACAGACCATGCCTCAAAACCAAGCAAACAAACCAAAAAAAAAAAAAAAAAAAGACTTTAAATTTTGTTTATGTATCAATAACCAATTTTAAACATATTTGTAACATGTAAGACTGTATTTGAAATATAAGATTTCTTTCCCTCGGAAGTAGAGACTTCTGGGCTAGCTCATTTCTAAGGGTGATATTAGTCCTTATCTTGGGAGAAATAGCTAAGAATACTAATTGCAGCTAAAATGATTGACACATCTTAAATCTTAAAGCCCAAAATACTTCAGAACAGCTTCACAAAAATGAAAAATCATGAAAAGTTAAACCATGAGTTCTGTACTTCGAGTTGTGGTACCTCAGTCATCCAGTGTAACAGACAGTGCATCTTTTTCCTGCCATGGCATTCATGTCAGAGAAGTGTGTACACTGAGGCCCAACAAACACTAGTGTAGGTTGAGGAATTGGCAGACGATCTTTTTTTCCCTCTTATCCAATTTCTGAAATAAAGTAAACTCACAAAACTCCAGCATTACCTCTTCTAACTCTAGGGGAAATTTAGGAGCATTTCCTTTAACAGCTTGCAATAGATCGTGTGTGGCTTTTAAAAGTATGGCTATGTTTTCTAAAACTGAATGTATTGTATGCAGAATGAAACAGGAGTAGACCACACCATCAAGAATAAACAGACTATTCAAACACAATAATGAGAGTAACTTAACTGCAAGACAGCATATAATTTACAAGCAGGTTTTACCAGCAGCTACAAGATAGAAACAAGATCCCAAACATAACAGCAGTCCATCTTTAGCACACACTCTTGACATAGAAATGCAGGCTAAAACTAAGCTGTTGTTCTCAAAGGACTGCTTGGATAAGCATCACCACCGAGGCTTCTGCTTTCCCAACTACAAAATTTCCTTTCATAAAGAAAAACAAGTTCTTTTTTTAAATATTTATTTATTTATTTAGTATACAGTATTCTGTCTGCATGTATCCCCGCAAGCCAGAAGAGGGTACCAGATCTCATTATGGATGGTTGTGAGCCATCATGTGGTTGCTGGGAATCGAACTCAAGACCTCTGGAAGAGTACCCAGTGCTCTTAACCTCTGAGCCATCTCTCCAGCCTCCCAGAAAAGAAGTTCTTTAGCAAAAGGAACATGTGCAAACATTTCCAGTAAGCCAAAAGACAGAAAGAAAGAGTAAGGTCATAAACAAGCTGGCTGTCGAACAAGCTCAGAATTTAACTTAGAAATATCAACAGAATATACTACAAGAAGAAGGGACAACCTGAGGTTGGATATCCAGCATAAATATAAAAAGCTCGACACAGCACACACACCTGCAATCCCATTACTGAGGAGGCAGACAGGAGGAGCAGAGTGCTTGCTGGCTAGCCAGTCAACCAGCCAGTCATGGAGCTCCAAGTACAATGAGAGACTGTCTCAAAAAGAAGGTAGAGGGGCTGGGAAGATGGCTCAGTGGGTAAGAACACTTTCTATATAATAAAGAAGATCTGAATTTGGATTCCCAGAACACACATGAAGACATGTACATAGTATATCACACACACACACACACACACACACACACACACACACACCCATAAAATTTAAAAAATAATCTCTTATACTAAGTTTCCAAGAGCTATTTTCAAAGTTTATTTCTCTCTGGGCACTCTTACTGAATTTCCTCTTTCTGTGTTACTGCTTCTAAATTTACTTGGGCAGTCACAATGAACTAGAATATATAGCAGCTACAAATAGTCCCAGACTCTTAGTGGTTTAACACAACAATTTCAAAATCTCAGTGGCAGAAAGCAGTTATACTCCCCTTACACAGCCAGAACTGGCACTGGGCCTGGTTACCAACTCCACCTAAGGGCAAGCAGACAGAGGTCCACCTCACCTGGTACTTGCAGTAAGAATCTGGTGTTGCTCACACTGGCTCTTCTGCCTGAAGTTACAAGACCTCCTTTAGCTCCAATGTTGTTGGGTGAAACAAGCCAGATAATTAGATCTAACTTCAGGGAAGACAGGAAATGTAATCCTACATCCGGCAAAGGGAAGGAAATGATAATATACCAGAACAGCTGAGAAGATTGTACCAAATGGAGGAATGGCATTGACTGCAGTTTCCAGATTTTTGTTACCTTGTCTCTCAGCACATTGTTATTTCCAATCCTTCCAAAATGAGGCAGAGAGACTTCTGACAAGCAATTTACAACTTCAACAAAAATCAACCCTTTTGTTTGTGTAAAGGGGGATTAATTATTATTAAAACTGTTAAGTCGCCCTTTGGAATAGGGCAGATAGACAACACAAAGCTTACTCTATGTGAGATCTAGGGGGCAGCACTTGAGTCTCTTAGGAACTCACATTCCAATCTGTTGAACTGGAACATATAGCCTTCATTAATTGACATTAATTTAACAAATACTTTCTAGTCTTCTGTCTGCTCAGGCACTGTGTTAGACTCTGGGGTATAAGAACTTTCACAGAGCTCTCCATAAAGGGGATGTGCAAAACAACAGGCCACCAAACACCCATTGCTCTTAGAATTCACACATAAATCAGAACTACTCCGATTCGTTACTAAAAGTCAGGACATAGCTACATAGCTAATCTAGGCTTAAGATTTTGTGACTTTTACCAATTTTAGCTACATCTTTACCAAAACACCACAAAGCTGTGAGTACTTCTTTGCCTAAGAATGAAAGACACTCCTAATGATGCCCTCTCACTGTCAATGGCTGGGACCTTTATAACAGCCCTCAGTCCAAAACAGGGCTAAATCATTCAAACCAATGTAACTTCCAGATTTACAAAAATGATTACACATCTAATTAATTTCACACAACACAAAGCTTCATGACTAAGAGTTGTTTTATTCTAGAAGAGTGTCATATGGGTAGC